ACCAAAACTTCTTGATCCAGGATCACTGAGGTTGGTGCAGAAGGAAAGCTTTATCTGAGTCAAAAATCCTAGAAAGAGGAGCGGGAGTAAAAATTTACAGCGGTGACCCACCAATCAACGAGCTCACCATGCAATATGAACAATGGTTAGACACCATCTCATTATTCATCAAGTATGTGAGGCAAGAAGGGTGGCAGACGCAGGCAGAGAGGTTTGAGAAGCACCGGCAGCTAGTAATTGACTTGAGAAAAGAGGCGGGGTGGATGGTGGCTCTACGCTACTGTTGAAGGGTTTGTCAAGGAGTAATGCAATCAACAGTGGATAAGAACATCTGCAACATTTCGAGGATCCAAACAGTAATTCTCAACGAAGTGAAAATGACGTGTGAGGATCTGAACAAATGGGCTTACCTGACAAACCCCTACGCCCTGGGTGGCCCAAGAGAAAACATGAACCCGTAAAACGGTCTCCCTAAGGCCTCCCCATCTACGAGGATAACAACATCCACAGCGTCCAAAGGCAAGACAACTTACCCAAAGACGGAAGGTTAGTTACCACCGCTTGAGTACAAAGCAAAGAAATCCGCCAAGAAAGCTAAAAGATAAGTGGTGTCGAGGTACCGTAGAGATTATTCCGGTAGTGATTGTAGACACAAAGATTGGAGAGACAGAGACAGAAGTTTAGAGAAGGGTAGGAACTATGGTAGTTACAACAGACAGAAGTCAAAGCTGTAGTTGTGATGGAGCATGTGGTGCGAAGTACGGAAAGTGCCAAAAGAAGGGTTAGTGAGTCACAACCAGAAATAATTTAAATGAATACTTCACATTATGATATGAAATCACAAGACGTTATGTTGAGAATTTTGATTGAAAGGTCCTAACCTGTGAACCGCCTTGCTCCCCCAAATTGTTGCCCCCCTTTTTGCCTTTTTTGACTGTTGTGATCTAAGCCCCAGATCTGAAATTAGCCTGAACCTGAGCCCTGCTTCCCACATTAAATGAGGTACATCAGCATCAGGAACAGAAGACAAAATACAAAATATAAAATGGCCGACGAGAGCTAAATGTGAGATGAATCTCAGAGTGTGGGAACAAGAGTTGCAGGCAAATAACCTCCTGGGGGCGAAGCGTCACTTACTCAGAGGTTGACTTGAAGGTTTTGACCAAGGAATACCAGGGATTCATTTACCCAACATGTTTTACTACTGTCCACTGAACCTTTCATCAGCCCTGCAAGCGAAGGAAGAGATAGAAGAGAACTTATCAAAGGAAATTAAGGCAGGGAGAATGTACGGACCATTCACAAAAGAAGAGGCTTATAACGAACTCGGATTCTTCAGGACAAACCCGTTGGGGGCAGTAACAAATGGTGATGGTTCCTTGAGACCGATAAAAGACCTATCCTTCCCGCGAAAGGAACCAACAATCAATTCAGTAAATGCAATGGTCAACAAAGATGATTTGGTCACATCACGGGATGATTTTGACAGGGTAGTAAAATTCTAACTGTCAATTGATTACCCCGTCCTCCTAGGGATATACAATTGGGCGAAAGTCTATGGCCAAATTCCGACAAAACCGGGACAATGGCCATATTTGATGATTCTTACTTTCAACGGAAGAGTGTTGCTTGACACCAGAATCACGTTTGGAGGGGTAGCAGGATGTGGATCCTTTGGTCAGGCAGCTGAAACTTGGAAGATAATTGTCCAGAAGAAATTTGGTTTCATGCAAGCGTTTAGATGGGTGGATGATACACTGTTTGTAAAACCAGACAACGGATCAAACCAATTTAATATGACAGACGTGGTTGAATTAAGCGACAAATTGGGAGTAGTGACAAACCCAACAAAGTGGAAGGAATTTGCTTACCAACTAAAATACCTGGGCATGGTATGGGACAGGAAGAAGAAAACCGTTGGCCTACAAGATTCAAAAAGACTCCTTCAAATTTCACAAATCCAAGAGTTTAAAGCTTTGAAGAGAGCAAACCATAATCAGGTAGCAAAGCTGGCAGGAAGGTTAGCACACGCATTGTTAATTTACCCACAGCTGAAATGCCATTGTGTGGCGATGTACCATTGGATGCCAGAATGGCTACATACATTGGCACTACAAGACATACCGGAGGAATTCATGGAGGACTTGGACACATGGTTGAGGGTCTTATCTACAGCCAATCCACGCAGGTTGATACCGAGCCCAGGCGTGAGGAACATTGCGTGGGTGGGAGACACATCAACTTCATACGGAATTGGCATTGTAATAGGTTGGAAGTGGGCAAGGTTCAGGTTACGCACAGGATGGTCAAAAGTCAAAGCAGATGGTTCAAGGCGTGAGATTGCCTGGGCTGAGACGGTAGCACTGAGGTTAGGATTATTAATATTAGTCCAACTTGTTGAGACACAATCAAGACTACAGTACTCTGCTAGCTATGTAATGTGTCATTGCGTCAAGTTGTAACGTTCTTTGTTAAATGTAAAATCCCAACAACGTTGTTGAACATTGATCCCAATATGTTTCATCCGTTTTTCTTTTATATGTACTCACCGTTTCTCAAGACTAACTCTATTTCCCCATCTGTTGGAAACAGAGTAAGTCAATTTCAGTTAATTACCTTATCAATTATACTAATGTGGCTTGTTATACAAACTAGAACATCCTCCAGATCATCTCAACAAGTTTAATCTTGAACTCTTTTAGTTGCTCATATTAATCCACCCTCCACTTTCCCTTTATACGTACATCTTTAATACTTGTTATTGTCTCTTCCACTTCTCTTTTCTGATTACTCTTTTTCTGTATGTCTTTAGGTTAGCTATAGGGTCTGCATACCCAGAAGCTTGTGGAGAAGAGTGGAGAAGAGTGCTAAAAAATCAGCACTATTGTTTAGGTTAGTTCACAATAATAATATATATATATTATCTGTTGGAAAGAGAAACATCCTCCAGATCATCTCAACAAGTTTAATCTTGAACTCTTTTAGTTTCTCATATTAATCCACCCTCCACTTTTCCTTTATAGGTTAGCTATAGGTTCTGCATACCCAGAAGCTTGTGGAGAAGAGTGTCAACAAATCAGCACTATTGTTTAGGTTAGCTATAGGGTCTGCATACCCAGAAGCTTGTGGAGAAGAGTGCTAACAAATCAGCACTATTGTTTAGGTTCACCGGTGTTCTCATCCATTTACACAACTGATGCCAGTAGAAGGATAGGAGTTCCTGGTACTCACAGATAATGTGGTAA